TTGCTTATCCAAAATTAAAATCATGTTTTTAATAATAATTTCTTAAAATAACGTAGTATTAAGTAATGCCTAAAATGCCTTGTCAATTCATCGCTTTAAAGTTTTATCTGGTTCCATAAAATTATTCAGAGGTTTAGTTGACGATTATCCACTTGATTTGCGGTCTGAGAAAACAGTTGCATTGAATACCCCATTCATATGACGAAATTTGCTAATGTGTATAAATTTACATATGAGTATATCCACACACGTAAGTAAAAGTTAATTTGCTATACGTTCGGACGAGATTTATGTACTAGCTGTTAAGTAAATACTTATCTTTTAATTTAAATAAGGAGATCCATAGGTTTAGAGTTATGAAATTTTTTTTTTATAGATAAAGGTTATTTTGTTACTTCATGTATTTGGGTATAAGACTAACTTTTTAATGTTCCTCAAAGAACCTAGGGGGGCGGATCCGATCCATTTATTTTTTGGTACGAAAAAAAAAACTTAATTACTTTAAGGAAAAAAATTACACACAAAGAAGGAAAATTAATTAAAATCATTGTTTAAAGTTGGAAAATGCTTTGGCCCCGGTCCTAAAAAAGTAAAAAAAAAGTTGCATGATGCCATCTACTGGTCGGCGTCTTCAGCAGAATAAAGGACGACTGGAAATCTTTTTGCTGCTTGGAAAAAACATGTGAAATGTGTGAATAGGAAATAAACACGAATCCCTTAGAAATTTATGGTGGGATTAGGTGCCAAGGAGGATACTTAAGAATGCTTACTTTCAACAGGATTGATGAAATTCCTGTAACATCAATTTATAATTTCAGTAGCTTGCCTTATTTCAAAAACAGAGAAATGTAGAAATAAGTCGACAAGAGCTTATCTGTAATGGTTGTAATGGTGCCTGGGTGATTAATGTAATCGTATTCTTATCATAGCTCTGCATGGAGCATTCCCATGAGGACAACTTAATTAGTAAGGGAATTATTTAGTGAGTTAAATTTTTATAATTTAGAGGCATTTAAGCATAGGTTTGCCAGAAAGGGTGCAAGATACGTGTGATTTTGCAAATTCAAATTTATCTTAGAGGAAACTGGAGATATATGGATCCTTGTAATTTTAGCTTTGTAAAAGCAATTGTGTAAGAACTATGCTAGTACAACCCAGCATAGACCTTAAATCAGTACTCTTATAAACTCAATTTACTTTTAGCTGTCGTTGAAGTACTGCAAGGATGACCATAAAAAAATCTAGGTTTTTTTTTTTTTTTTTTTTTTTTTTAGAGTTTTGCTTTCTATTCGCTGTGTTTACAGACTGATATTTTACACACATCAATGCATACACAACCGAAACAATACTTAAAATGGAGATTTATGCATGATGTCTGTACATACGACAAAATTTACACACATGAACTATTAATTTGCGACAACATGTATGCAAAAGTTAATTTGCACCTAATCCTGACCAAGTGTAAATTTACACAACTGTGCAGAATTTAAATATGAACAAATCAGTTCATACGATAAAAATTGCGCATGTGAGTTAATTTACATATCAGTAAAATTAACTGAGGTATGCAAATCATGTTGTATGAATGGGGTGTTTAAGACTTCAGTGTAACTTTTACTTATGACAGAGTTCCCCTTGTGGCGCAGTGGTAGAGGATCTGCTATAGACAAATCTAGAGTCGCGGATGCTTTCGTCGCGGGTTCGAACCCAACTGTGGGATGTGGAGACCGGTCCTTCGGATGAGAACGTATAGACCGAGGTCCCTAGAAGCAGACGATGCTGAAACGAGAAAGATTTCTTGCTGCTCAATAGCCCTGAGTGCCAAATATAGGACAAAATATGCATCTCTCTTCGGCAAAAGGTGGCGTCTCCATATGAGTGAAAGAATCTCGAGAGGGGACTCATAAAACTTATGCAAGATATTTACAAATCATTTGTGTTATATGTTGGATTCAGATTAGAAAAACTTTATCTTGAGTTTTTACGACATGTACTTGGTGTTCGTAAAACTACAAACACGACCATGTTGTACTTTGAGACAGGACGTCTACCAATGTATCTTATTCGCATTTATCGAATGTTTCAATTCTGGTTTAGATGATTGCAGTCTGAAAATTGTATATTAAGAGCTGCTTATGATTGGTCTTATTGTAGTTGTGAAAATGATAAGCAAAAGTATCAAAGTTGGGCTAAATTTATCAAGGAACAAATTACATTGTTTGGGACTGGGGTATATGTTGAACGACCAAAGGAATTTGAATAGTCGTATATGTCTGCCAATCATGTATCAGACTTAATGACCACTTTATACAAACCTTTTTAAGCAAAATGCAAACAGAATCAAAATTTTATATCTATAAGCATTTAATTGATAATTTTTGCTTGCAGTATTACTAAGTAAAATCAATACCAAAGTTGTACAAAAAAGTGTATTTCTGAAATGAGATTGTTCTCGCATAATCTGTTTATTGAAACGGGTAGACATAAAAATATACTAAGAGACAAAAGATTCTGCAAAATATGTACTTCAAAATTGGAAAACGAATATCATTCTTTTCTTGTATGTCCAATGTATACAACATAAGTTTTTGAAAAAAATATTGGTAAAGGCCACCTGTGTACAAAATTAATACAGTTATTAAGTGTGAATAATGTAAAAGAATAGTGTAATTTGGGGAAATTCATCTATAAAGCCCTCGCGCTTCAAAATGATTTAATCAAGTATTGTGTATATTATTTGCTGATTTGTTTCTAGTATATTGTTTGATATGTCTATTGTTATACCACACTGTATACTATATGTACTTTGCATGAATCTCACGTCATTCTTCACATGAAGTGTAAAGACTTTTAACGTGAGTTTTTATGTATATATGTGTTTTATAATTATTTATTTACAAGGACTGACCGCCAATTTGTTTCTCTTTTTTATATACATTGTATTGTATTTATGCGATAAAACGTATGGCTTTTGCAACAAAGAAATTGAAATACCTTTCTCATTTGATAATTTTAAATATTATGTTTTCATTTTCAGAGTTTCCTGTTTGAAATTTTCTAAAATAAAATTATCCTTCAACAAGTATCGTTTCTAATTTTAAGAAAACTTAGAAGACTTAATGCTCAGCTTCAAAAAATGGAGTGAAATGGAGTGGAGATATTGGTAGATAAAATTAAAATAACACACGTCATTTTCAAATTTATTCTTTATTCATTTAGGATTTTATTCTAATCATCATTTTGGATGTTTTCATGTTCTCTCGTGATGATCCCCAGTGTAAATGGTGCCTGGAGCTTATTTGTTTGTTTGTGTATTGTCCGTTCAGATTAGAGTACGAGCATTCATTGTACCACCAGGCACCTCGGTGATGTGTTTTTGCACATTGACCACTCCACTTGTCGTTATCACTGTCCTTGGAGGAGAATGCCATTCCATTCAAACTGTGGCTGCCAATTATGAAATCTCCTTCAATGAAAAGAGAAAAAGTTAGCATTTATGAAGTATGTAGCATCAAGTAATCATACTATTTTATATGTACTTAAAGACAATTGTATAATGTCCAAATGTCAGAAATATTAAAGAGCAATAAAACCTTTTACAAAACTACTGAAATGCTTTGTGCACGAATATTACAGTTGAGGAACATGGTAAATTGTTTTCTTTAACAAACTACAGGAAATAGAAGTGAAAAAAAATTAAAACACCGTTTAACTTTTTCGCATATTTGTCACAACATACGTAAAACGGATTTAATATTAACAATGACAAAGCAAGACATTCTCATAGTTTTCTACCAATCTTTTAAACAAAAATAATAACTCCGGTGAATTATGACCCGTGGTAAATAAAAATAGTAATACATATACAGTCTACATTATGTAATTGCAAAGAAATGTGTTTTTGGATAAGTGAAAAAAGTTATGATCAATCGCTGTTGATGAAGCCATAAATTCACAAATCAGCAGATAACTGAAGCTTGCGTTCTGCGTTTAAATTGTGCTAAATATTTAACGGACATGGACGCAGTTTCTTCTCAAGGTTTTCAAATTTTATTTTTCCTTTTTTTGTTTACAAATACATAAATAAGGTATCTATGATGATCAAAATTTATTATTTCATTTCGAGATAATACTCAGATTAAGAGCTCCAAACCTGTATTTTGTAAAAGAAAAAGGTGGCGGGGTGTTGGGGCATGTTCTTTTGTTTTCGTTTACATTGATTTGAATTCGTTCAAAGCAGATTTTATAAATAAAGAAGTTAATTTGAAATAGTAATAGAGTTTCTAATGATTTTTATATGTCGTTTTCTTATAAACATGATATTTTCTATATGCAAAGCACAACAATGCGCGAGCTTTGTTTACATATTGAAGAATTTTAAGTTCTGTATCTACTTTGTAAATCCAAAATGATGTTGAAAATTTTTTATGATTTTTAGGATTGTCCTAGTTAGAAATTGTTATTTTAAAAATGATAAAAAAATAGTTGAAACTGTATCTATGTCCGTTTAATTTTTCACCATTATTGTATAAAAATATTCATAAAAGCATTTGGTTATGAGCACGTTTTGATGACTATGATATAAAGATTTAAACGAAACAGCTCAAGTTAAAAGAAGAACAATCATCTCTCCTCCAAAGCAAAACAGATTTTCTGTCAATTTCAAGTAGTCCTCATTCTCTATATCGTATAAATTCCACGGTATATATGAATTCTGATTTTTTATATCTTTCTGTAGAAGGTGTTGTTAATCAATGTTTAAACCGAGGGATTAATCGAAAACTTATAGAAGAAAATACTCTTATAACTTTTTTTCTGAAATGATATAAAGGAATAACTTTAAATAGTTCATACATATAATTCTGAACATTGACTACTTGGTAGTGATTCTTTATCCACGAAATCAAATTCCAAAGAATCCATGTTTCCCCTTAAACCACGGAAAAACTGACTCCAAAAAAATATGTAATAATAACTGAATTTTCCTCACCAGCTGTCCCACTATTTCAACTGATCGACAGTTTATACTTTTTGGATTCATCACCAATAGAAAATTTTGAGTATTTTGCGTAAACTTTTGAACCAGAAAACTTCGTCATTTCTATACGTAGTTCTTGATCATCATTTTTAGTTAGAGCATGGATTATGTCATTCCCTGTTCATAATAAGATACAAAACAAATTAAAATATTGATGTAGTATTCGGTTTCTTATAGTATTGATGAAGTGAAAGAAAATTGTCTCACTCATTCATTAAAGCCATGCATGTAGGTTAATTTCACATACCAAGCCAAAATTCCCGAGAAATGTTCCCAAAACCTGTTTTATAGTCATTCCAGTCTCGATAAAAATTGGTTGTACCATCGAACTTGTTTTGAATGACCTTTAAATTATTTTTGTTATTAATGCGTTTTGATAACACATACATGTATTTAGTATTTTTCACAATAAAAAAAATAACATAAACCTTTAGGTTTTTTTAATAACTAGTTAAAACTCCCTGGAAGATTTGCTTTTGTAATGCTACGTTTACACTATGTTCCCGGCAGCCACGGCAGCCCCGTTTTCCCGAAACGTAGTGCGCCGTGAGATTTTGGTTATTTTCCCCTCTATATCCAAGTCTTGACAAGTTCTTTTGCGGTCTTCTACTGTCTTCTACGGAATCCGTGATGGGCCGCAGGAAGAAGTTGCCGTGGAGTGCCGGAGGCTCCACGGCGCACTACGGTTCTGCCACGTATGCCAGCACGTTCCCCCAGGCCTCGTACGTTCTGATAGGTCCCCTCTCGTTTCTCGCGTTCTTATGAAGTTCTTATACGTTTCTCACGTTCTGTCAAGTTTTTCTACGTATGAAACATATACGCCGGGAAACTATGGATCACGTTTGTACCAGAGAAGGTCTTCTAACTAGAAACAATCATTGTATCATGACCCTTCGAAGATAAAACATCATGAATTCCCAAGACGAAGATTTTATTTTCGCGTGTTTGCTGGGTGCATACCTAAAATCACTTCGTCAAAATGAAGAGAACCAGCAGCAGTTACAGAGAGGGAAGGCAGGAGTGCAGCAACTAGGAATGAGACGAATAAGACGGATGAGAAGGCGGAGATCCATATGCAGTGCCCGGCTTTTATATGCTTCCTCTCAGACCGCGTGTGCCGTGTCAGACCGTAGTAGAACGCAACGCACCGGGACCATAAACCGTAACATGCCGGGACGAACCGCGATTGAACGCGAGGAAACGGCTACCATACACCCTAGTTTGCCGTGAGGACCGTGATGAAACGTGGCAGAACGTGATAAAACGGACAACAACCGTGAACTAGCCGTGACAGAACGCAGACTAAACTCAACAAAACGTCTCGAAACGTGAATGGACCGTCAGATGAATGGAAATATACATTCTCCCGTCCCACTGCGGACTGCCTCCAAGTTCTGTTACGGTCCATTACGTGCTGTCGCGTTTTGTTGCGTTTATTCCGTTTTACTACGACCTACTAAGTTTCACATCTGCAACGTGGCCGCCGTGGCAAATTTTTTGACAGTTTAAAAATCTGGCACGGCATCCACGGCAATTGCGATGAGTTACGTTTGCCCATCCCGTTGCCCCAAGTTTTCTTACGCCCGTCCCGTTTTTTTCCACGGTGGCCTGAAACGTGATTGCCGTGGCTGCCGGGAACATAGTGTAAACGTAGCATAAGAAACATGCTAAAACACTTAAATATCCGCAAAAATGTTGAACCAAAATCTGTCTTGTTCTTATTCAGACATGATGCTTTAAATTTTTTAATTATCAAACGAAAAATGGGCATTATTACAGACCATGTGATTTTAAGCATAATTACCGTCCAACCCCCTCCATCTGTCGTCATGTCACAATAAACTTTAACTATATTTTTCCTGTCAACGATGATTTTATAAATACCGTCCTGTCTTCTGGTAGAAGGGTCTCTTCTCAAAATATCAGCACAGTTTTTCCCGGTTACTGAAGCCACAAAGTCACAAAGTTTGTTATCAAAGATATGGTGTAATATATGACTTCAGAGTGAAAATATACCGGTAATACCGGTAATTATAAACAAAATATCTCATTGAACTATTGATTGAATAATACTTGTTCTTATATCGATATAAATCTGAATTAATGTTGAAAAATACTGAAAGGAAAAAGAAACGCATTGTAACTTTTTGAGGTGAATAAAATTTGTTTTTATTTTTTTCAGTATTTCTTGATTTTGTCTGATAATTCATGAGTTATTGAAACTCATATGACGATACCCTCTAAAAATGAAAATCAAAAACTTTCATTATCTTCAATGTCTCCCCCGCGCATCTGTCACAACCTTGATTTTCATTTGCATGGAATTCATCAAGATGTTTGTCTTCAAACCCTGGGCACATTGAGCATAGATAAACACGCCGAAAAATTAGTCAAAAGAAGCGCGCATGCGCCAGTGAGATAAACCCAAAAGTAAAATTGCATGGCTGTTCAAATACCCAAATTGTGCAAGTTGTTTCTTTCAGTTTCGGGGTGAATGTAATGATTATGATTATGCGGTTTTGTGGTGATGAGGTGGCGATTTATCAGGTGGCAGGACGAATAACCCGTTAGTAACGTGACTCTGTTTCGCGTTAACGTCATCGTCAAGGTTGATTAGAAAAAATACCAGGCCTTCTCTGACAACAGGAGTAACCAGTTGGTGCCTTTGTTCTTAGTAAAGCAATTCAAAAACTAGACCCCATGGAACTCCCATAAACTGTACCAAGATCAAAGAAATTCATATCGTTTGTGAATATTGAAAAACAATATGTATACGTCAGGTACATCAAATGGTAAGAAAATTCGTTGACAAATCCGTCATTGCTTTGCACGTGTTTTGTGCTTTTTGCTTTTTAGCTTTTTCCCCACGTGACGTCATACATTTTATGGTTGAGTAATTCTGAGCACTGATTTTGGTGCATAGTAACTAACATTCTCATATGACCAATTTTCGTAATTTTTGGTCATGCGGTCAAAAAAATTCAATAAACATGTTACCCTGCGTTTCTTTTTCCTTTCAGTATATAAAAATGCAAGCGCTAAATTATTATTTTTGAATGCCGTACAAAAGGACCTATTCATGGCGACAAATAATGATTTAACATTTAGATATTAACATTTCAGAGTTCTTTTCTTAATCCTTTTGAAATCTAAACCATATACTTATCCGAAGTAAAACTGATCACGGCACAACAAAAAATAAAATAGAGTAGAAACTACAGAATTTCACACTCTCAATACACACGAGACGGACACTATAATGTGTATTATGTTGTTTAATTAAATTCATCTGTAAACAGTGACCTGATTAAATTGTTATACAAGTTAAATTTAAAATTTGTTCATTTTCTTTCTTCGCAATATTCATATTGTGCCAAAAAAAGGCTAAAACATATATAAAAAAGGCAAGCGAATTTAAATTTTGATAACAAATATTCATAGTCTGTCAGTTCATGAAAGTGTGAAGTCGAAAAATACCATTAAAAGTTCTCAAATGTTCAATTTTGTCAATAAGAATAACGATCGATTTTAAACATACCGACTTTTACAGGGGTTGTGTTTAATTACATGCCAATACATAAACAAAGGGTTGAATGCAAAGGCTTTAAAAAACTGATGTCCATCGTTGTACCAAACTACAAAATACCGTCCCGTAATACTATAAAATCTAGGATCGAAAAGTATACGAAAATCGTAAATCCGTTCTGTTAGAACTTGATCAAGTTCAAGTCAAACTGTACGACTGATACCTGGACGTCAAACGCGACAAAGAGTTACATTACAATTACGGAGTATATAATTTTTTTAAAGAAAAACACCGTGAACCACTTACGATTTTATTTATTGTGTTTATCTGATAAATAAGTTGAACTTAAAAAAAATGTTGTATTAAATTTCGTTGGGCATGAAGTGATCATCATTGTTACAACAGAAATGCATTTACGGGTACATCTCCTATCAGAGCATGTGGTTTTATTTCTACAAGAGTTTACAATGTTTTACATTCATCAATTTACTTGTTCATATTTATTTACACTTTTACCGAGTACCCGGGTACTCGATCGGAAAAACGTCCGAGTAACCGAGTATCAAAAATTGACCGATGTTTTTTACCCTTTGTTTGATTTTGATCAGTCGCTGCAAAATTGATTATCGAAATTTGAGTAGAAAATATGATATTGTATTACAATCTTTGATTTCTATTTGAAAGAAATATGAGAAATTGTCTTTTTCATTTGCAAAACATATTGTTTATTGAAACTAAAAGCTATTCTAACGAGGTTATAGAGTCAAATTGTTTTTGAAAACTTTAAAATCATCGAACTGAAACTGAGTTGAATTTTTTTTTTATTTTGTGAACAAAACGACATTATTTTTTTTCAATCTAATTTAAGTGTTAACTGTCCCAAAAAACAAGTTAACCCAATCTCACAGTCGTTGCTCTATCAAATTCATTCCCTATAATCTAATTTTCCATCTAGGAGTGTAAAAAAAAATAAGACATTTTTTTTCCTTTATAATTCCAATCTTAATTTTATTTATTGATTCCTTGTGTTTTGATTGGACGAGAACAAATTGAAGAAAAAGTTTACACATCGATCATTTTTCAAACTACTTTTCGAACTACTTTCTTGACCTAGCTTCGAGGCTGTTGTAGAAACAATGAAAACAGATACATCTAGTCCGTTTTATCTAAATTACGATTACAAGAAACTTGAAATATAAAAAAAAAGCAAAACAGGAGATAAACAGGACTGACAGACGGGATGTTGATGTCACTGTCGGATCAAGAGTGTGAATTCTTTTAAAAATCGCTGATCATGCTGTCATTTTCTCGACGTTCCACAACAGCTCAGTTGGCATCTGGGAAAAGAAACGTACCTAAGACTCTTGCCTTATCAGCATCAAATTCATATATTTACATCCTACAGATCCCATATTCTCCCTAAATCTTTAAACGAACCAGAGCAAATCGAGGACGTTGTCGGTCTGCAACTTTCGCTATGAGAGTTTTCGTTAATGTCAACATGGCCATGGTCAAGGACGAATTATTCTGGAGAATACCCCTTTTTTCGATATTTGTTGACTTAAACAACATTCAGTGAGTTTTTATAAGTTTATTTATTGATTTTTTTTGACAATTTAAGCTGGATTTTATCGCTATTCATCTTGTATACGTTTCTTTGCGGCATAATGTATTCCTACGCCGTACAAAATAACGGATTGTATGGCGGCCTCAAAGAGAATTAATTTTAATAATTTTAAAAATTCGAAATTGGAATTATAAGAATTAAACGTTCTTTTTTCAGAATTTATCGATGTGTAAAGTCTGCCTTTTTACTCACAAAAAGGCAGGAGTTTACACATCGATAAATTCTGAAGAAAGAACGTTTAATCCTATAATAAATGCATTTTTAAAAATAAATATTTAATTAACATCCTTAAATTAATTTATGTAAAACATCTGACACGGCAGACCCATGCTAGCAATTAAGTTTCTTAATCCCAAAATTTCTTATCCGTGAGATTAAAGCAATTCTCAAAGATCTTTCTGTAAATTGATATGATTTATATTCTCGGCCGTCGGATGCTAAGCTATGCGCGCGGGTTCTCACGCCTTTCACCATTCCCTCACAGAGCCTTGTCAGTGAACGCGCAAACAAAAATTCTGCTGTAATTTTAATTGCCCTCCGTCCCACCCCAACACCATCTGTAATTATTGCCGTGTCAGCATAGTTATCTTTGATTGGTTTTGTATGATACATGTTCTTTTAGAATAGTTTTCATGTTTATGTTTTAATTTGCGAAAAATATATACGATTGTGGTGTTTTCGAATGTTTATACCCCACCGATGATATCTATTGATACAAAATTGATTATATTTTCAATTGTTCAATTTTTCTGATTCTGCATTATATGTTTATATGCATGGTATTTTGTGTTTTTCATACAGTCATTTATAATGTAAATAAATGGCATTTTTCAATTCACTTAATCTTAATTTTGTTTCTTCATATCAAAGAGTTAACCTATTGTCAGTGGGTTTACATAAATTTTATATCTAACTTAATGTCAAGAGGATTGATACGTTTTTGACCTTAGTCATTGTAACGTACATGGGCAACGCATACAATGTAAATTAGTTTTTCTATCTGTTTTTATGGTATGTTACAACCAGAATTATTATATACATATAAACAAACATATAAATACAAGCTTGAAGACAGGACCGTGCAATTTCAGTAGCTATTCTAATGTTTACTGCATTTTGTTTAACTATCTCAGTGGATATTTTATTTTTATTTTTATAACAACTTCATCATTTATGATTCTACATCAAGTGATGTTTTTAAACAATTACAAAATTCAAATGAAGCCAAAGATTTTTTTCTATGAATTTGACGTATGCACTTGGTCATGTACTTATACTTGGGACATTTATATTATAACACCATAAGTACATGGTATATACTTCCTAACATATAAAGTAAGCAGATACTACACCTAAAACGTGAATGTGTTAATTTCCTTGTTCTATAGAAATGTGCTCTACATGTGCTTTAATTCAACAGTTGTTTTTTAACCGAACTTTACTCTCAATTCACACGACTCGTCTTTTTATGGTTTTTCAAATAAATGCAATTATTTACTAATACGTATAATAAGGATGATGTGAAATACGGTCCCCAGTAAATTGATAAAAAATTTAATGTCCAAATTTTACTCTAATTTTTGCATCCAACTAATCACTGGTATGTGTACTTTAATGGAATACTTTTTTAACAAAAAAGAAATATAATTTGGAAAATATATATCTTTTATTTGGGTAGGGGGCACCATGTTTACATCCCATTACCATTGAATTTTGGCCCCGCCCAATTCATTGATGCCAAATGACTACATG